ATTCAAATGTCATCACTCCCATGATTACTCACACATAGAGATTCAAATGTCATCACTCCCACATGGGATTTAGATGTCATCACTCCCATGGTTTAGCCACACATGGGATTTAGATGTCATCACTCCCATGATTTACTCACACATAGAGATTCAGATGTCATCACTCCCATGGTTTACCCACACATAGAGATTCAGATGTCATCACTCCCATGATTTACTCACACATAGAGATTCAAATGTCATCACTCCCACATGGGATTTAGATGTCATCACTCCCATGGTTTAGCCACACAAAGATTCACGTTTTAACAAGAGGTCGAAAATATTCATCAAAATCAGAGAATTAAAGATATCATCATGAAATGAATAAATCTGAGATAGGTCTACTCAAGGTACATATACACCAAGTATCAAAGCAACCAGGCTTGTATTTTTCAAGAAGGAGTCAAAAAAGTAAAAAGTTGAAGTGGACAAAGGAAGACAGTGTATAATAGTAATCAAAGTCCAATCACCTAGACATACAAACTACAACAATTACAATGCTGGTATAAAGGCTACTTACATTTACTGTACACGGTACAGAGACTGATGATAAACACAACAAACCTGCTGCTATCACAGTCTTCTGTGCGCATGAATCAAATTTAAAAAGCCATCATATTTAAAAACTATTATAATTGTCTAAAGTGTATACCATCCACTAGCAGTAATATGAAGCCACATTTGTTTTACCCACTTTCACAATGACAGATAAAGTGTTAAGTGTCCCATTAGGCCTAATAAAATGTTCTGTTTCTTGTCAGTTAGAAAATAGAGGTTAAACATAGCACGTATATACTGGATTCTGCTGTAAATTCGCCCATCCAAAAAATTGCCCTGGGTGGATTCATGGCTGGTGGGCCCTTACAACAAATGATGATCAAAATTGAAAAATCCACCTAAGTCGACTTTCAACGGCGGCAGTTTTACCACCCAAGACGAAAGAAACTATTGTAGAAGCTAATCTAAAATTTGATACATTTTTTTCTTGCTGAATTAAAAAGTGGGCCGCCTAAAATTTCATTACAATTTCACATCATTGCTTAGAAGCAAATGATCGCGGTAGCGCAATCCAGTCATGCTGTGTTTCACAAATGTTGATTATAATAATGTTCAAAAAATAAATTGGTTGAATTGTTATGAAATGCAAATAAATTTCAACTTAGTTGCAGTCGCATGTTTTGATCTGGGACGGTGTTTTTTGACCTGATGGGCCAAATCACTAAATTAACCAATCAAAATGATGGATAATACCAACGTTTCAATTTAAATATGCTAAAGTTATTGAACCTAGCATGGAAGAGATTTGCCGATGTTGTTTTTTAAATAAAAAAATTACCTAGTTGTTTTCAAAAGATAAACTGAGCATTTGAAGAATAATTTAACATTGTTTACAGTGACAAAATTGTCGAAACGAAGCTTACTCATTCATGCTAGTCACAAACATCATACTCTTGAATAGGCGTCAATGACTATGGTAAAACTTAAATTAGATTTTTAGGCATTAGGAATGATTGAAATGTCCAAAAAAAGGGAACCTTGTGTTTGGCCTTACATGTTCATTGCATTTGTGAGGCTGTACCAATATACATCAAGAGGACAACACATAATTTGTAAAATCAATGGAAATTTTATTACTGTAAACCTGTAAACTGCTTCAATTCACAAGAGACCGTTTTGGAGTAAGAAAAACACAATATTTTAGAGCAGTAAGTAAGTGTCACTGTGACATTTTAATGCTAAATGATTTTAAGAAAAACAAACAGTTTTTAGAAAAGAGAAGTGGAAATTAGTTAAAGGTACAAATTTGCACTATTTTCTAGTTATACCAAAGGTTCATGCAATGGATTATTAAAATTTAAAAACCATAATTCATGCATATTATATCAAAATTAACACAATGACAGCGTAAGCTACACATTGAGTATGTGTCCCAGCATTTGTTACACATAAAGACAGATAGGACGTATTAAACTCAACATGATGAATTAGTATATTAAATTTTATGGTTATAACTGTGACATACCCCTACTGCAAAATATATGACAATGTTGTGTTACCTGTTTTAGGTTTTGTACACCTACACAGTATGAGAAAATTGAGAATAAACATTGGCATAGTTTTACTTACTTCTAAAGAATCTTCCAATCTATCATACAACAAAGAGTCTGCACTTCCTGGATGTCCTCTAGGCTTCTTCTTCTTCTTCTCTGATCTCCTGGACTGCTTGTCTAATAGTTTTTGTAATTTTGTTACTTCATCCTCCTAACAAAAAAGAATCAAGTTTGACAACTTAGTAGCTTTTTAAAATTGATGTGCGCATGTGTTTTTAAAAAAAATTTGTGCTTTTTTGTTGATTTTCCATGAAAATTTGTCTGAAAACAAAGCATATTTTTTTTATCTGATGTGTGTGATGACCAGAAACCTTGATATTTTTGTCTAGATCTAACATTGAAATATGCAGAAAAGCGGTGCGTTAATTTGTTGTATGAGATGGTAGCTACTTACGAGATCATGATGTTCAGGTACATTACAAAACAGCATATCAGCAGGTAATTCAATCTGTCTAGGTAAAATCTCTTGTTGTGTTTGACCACTACTGGTAGCAGTTGATGTGACTATGACAGGTTGAGATGCAGCACTAGGAGTGGTAGCGGTGGCAGGTGGCGGCCCTGATAAGACAACCTGTGGTTGAGTTGAAACTCCAGCAGCATACGATGCATTGGTTGTACCATAACCTGGTGGTACAGGAGCAAATCCTGGTGGGATACCAGACGGCATGGTTAATGAGGCATCAAAGTCCGGCTGTGCAGGAAGGGGAGCTTGGCCAGGTACAGGAGCAAATGCGGCTCCCTGGGGTGGTGTTGGACTGGATGGTTCATTAGCATAACCATAGCCTAGAATGCAAACAATAATAACATTTGTTATTGTTTATGGCTGTATACATTCCATATTAAATGGTAACTATGAAAACAAACAATGCATGATTGCCAGCAATTGAGGTACAAATGTACATGCAAACGTTAACTTAAAATGAGATGTGGGGATACATCATCATTTTTACAATATTTTGGATAAAGATATGTAGCAATAGTAATCATCTCGTAACTACTTGAGTATTTTCATTGAACTGGATTATTGTAATTGCATATATGTAAAATGATGTATGTATAAAATTTGAATGCATGTCATAGATATGGCTTATGGCTGAAAATCAAAATGATTTGCACCAAGGTTCTATTATGCAAAATGTGTGTACTAAGTTCGAATGTAATTTATCTATACACAACCAAAATCTTATTCTGATATAGCAAAAAAACTTGATTTTGATAAACCATCTTGAACCAGGTCATGAAAGGAATGAATGTGCATATGTATGATGTAAGTTTGAATATGATCGCCCCAGGCATGCTCAAGATACAGGTTGGGATGCATGCATTGAGGTCAATCCATAAGTATTTGTTTTCAGAATGTGTTGAAAGGGGACTATATTTTGTATTCAATGATCCTATTTCTATCAAATGCGACATTGGTTGCTGATCCAATGTAAACAAGAAAAGTGTTTAAAAAATGACACAAGCACACTTTTGTCTGGCCATAACACTTTTGAACAAACAAGGTTTTGTGGATGGCTGGATTTTATTTTTACTGCAAGATTTTACAGATGCACGAATTACCTCTTCCAGCAGATCTTGGATAATACCTTGCAGGACTAGCAGCATACGGAGAGGAATAATATCGTCCACCATCTTCTGGGTAATAAGCTGGTCCGTGCTGATGAGGAAAATTGGCATTCCTCTCTGGTGGCCAATTTGATGATGGTGGACTGTACTGGTACTACAAGATGACAACAAAGATAAAACTATTACCACGGACATAGATGTTCATTCAATAATGGACACAATACTTCCCTGCATGCAATAATAATACACTGCAAATGATACATTGATACTGTATTTGCTCTTTCAGAATCACATCCCTAATTGAACATTTATTCCTAAACGCATTTATAGTATTGGGCCATTCCAGTTTATATCTGCACCCCCCCCCTTGTTGATGAGCTTGTTTGTTTACTTCATACAGGGTATAATTTCCATGGTTGTACAAGTCATACAAAGTTTTATTTCCAAATCACCATTCACCATACAGTAATGGAAATCCAAAACTATAGTTCCTACTTATGGTGTTGATGACTTCAGTTGTGCCACCATACAGAGTAGGATTTCCAAATATAACTCATCATATGCTACTTTATCAAGTTCAAAATTTTATATTTGATAATGGAAATCCAAACTAGTCCTAATTCACGGTGTTGATGAGCTCAATCGTGCCACCATCCTTATCTAATTTCAGTAATTTACAGATTTACAGATTCTGTTTCTGCATATACAGTTGGAATTCCTGGGTATTTTCTCCATCATACAGTGCTGGAAATCCGACCACATCAACAGGGGGTGCAAATATAAACTCGAATGACCCATTGGATGATCCAAATGTCACCATAGTTACAGCTCCCTCATGTACATCAACTGATACATTATATGAAATCACCATTAAGGACCAGGAATATGCCTTAATTAGCTAGGGTTGATGGGGATCTAAACTCCAAACTCCAATCCAAACGACAGTAATCAAACAAACAGTAAACCAAATAATCTGTATAATGTCCTACCAAGTTTCTATCAAATTAGTCTATGCCTGCATACTGTAATAATTAGTGTTCAGACTACTCTACTACAACTATTGCTATGTGTACACGGCAGCATTCTATCAGAGCCAAACTACTGCTCCTCCCACCGAGTAAAACAGAACAGCGCTGTTAGATACTTTGCATGAAATCAATGTGGCTGAAAACGATTTCAATGGCAACTGTATACAATGGTATTCTGCAGATAAAGATCCAAGTTAGGTGACTGTACGCACTTTGTTAGCATGTACTAAGGGTACTATGGATCTATCTTTGACTAGCTGTTTTTTAGTCTGTACTCGGCATCCTTAGTGATAACTAAAATTTAGCTTTAGCCTAGCTGTGCTAAGGAACACAACTAATGAAAACAGTAAACACATGCAACCATACAGACCATAGCATTATTATTTGGAATATTATTAAAGTTGTTTAGACATGATAGGAACATACTATATTGCCTATTTAATTGCTATTATGTACCTCATCCACCACATTGCCATAGTGTACCCGTCTAACTGAGGGTCCTCTGGGTGTACTAATATCAACAATTCTATTACTCTGTTCAAATAATGCATCTTTCAATGCATCTACTTCATTCATCAAGGCAGCAATTTCAGGATCATCATCTGAAATAATAATTGTACTTGAATCAATAAAAACTTCAGGCAGTAAATGTAACAGAAGCTTTCATATAGGTATTAACCAACTGGCAACAGAAAGGAAGTGTCAATACTCAATACTGGAAACTGCAATGATTAGGCACAATTCAGCGACCCTGAGGCAAGACTTTTGGTAGACATACAGTGATTCTGAGATAGGGCTTACTTGCAAAATACAATAAATGACCCGTAGTGGACATACAACAATACTAGTATATATATACATATATATATAAATATTACATTATTCACCTGCATCAAGGGTTCCACCAAATTTGTCCAATATTTCTTGTAATCTTCGTATTTCAGATTTCTGTTCATCTAACTTGTCATATAAGTAATCTATTTCTTCTTGCTGAGCAGCTACCAATAACATACAAACATTAATACCATGATACCCACCAAATCATTTTAGTTTAAATATATTACTCTATAAACTCAATTTCAGACGTATATTCATCACTATCATAGTATGTATATCAATCTATATAGATTCCAGCTTTGCTTTGAAACAATCATGCTTGCTTGTTGCAATGCAACATGTACAGAAGCCCCAATAATCCAAAAATTGTATATTTCATACAGTGGATTATTAAAATTATTACTTTTTTTGACCATGGAAATACATCTGTTATGCACCACTACTGTAGTGGATATGACATGTATTACTAATAGAGTATTATACATTACAGTGACTATCAAATACAGGTTGTATTTCAGTATAGTAAATATTTAATAAACCATAAAGAAAAGTTAAATTTTAAATAAGATTAAACAGACCATACCATGTATTTCAGGCCAGATGGCTTGACATGATGTGCTAGTGCTATTTTTAATGATGACTCAAGATATAGTTTTAGTTAAAAATAACTGCTCATCATACACTGCAGGCTTTGGCTAAAACAAATATTTCATGTGTTTTGGGAATTGCTGTCATAAGAAGGTGAGGTCATTGTCATTTTATTGGTATGTTTACAAAGATAGAACACTTAATAAAAGCAAATATAACTGAAGTATGACAAAATAGGTGGCATGGTTGAAGATTGAATATTGGGATGTGATAATGAGACATGAACTATAAATGTCAAGTTTTATTAAAGAATCATTCATAGTGACTGCGCAAATTATTGTAGGTTAAACATAGTAATAACAAGACATGACATGTCATAACCTTCGCTCAAAAACAATTTTAAAACTTACATTGAACTGGGTTTTAGTCAGAGTGAATTATTTCATTGCGAGCTGTACTAAAATTCTGTTATTAATTGTTCAGAATTGATGTGGAACAATTTTAGCAGGGGTGGGGTAAAAAAAATACTCATTTGGCTTTTCTGAGACAATTTATAACTTGTTAAACATATAATGTGAGGTGCACTTGTAAACAATTATAACTTGTCACTGTACCAGCTTTGAACAAAACTGGATGACACATATCTGAGAAAAAGCTGATTTAGATTTTTGAGGGAAAAAATGGCCTCCAAGCCGTAAAAATTTATTCAATCAAACAAGTCATGAATGACACTGCCTTCACTTGTTGTCATTTGGAAGTTGCAACATATAATTGTTCAGTTTTTGGCATGGACATATATTGGCAAACATGATTTCTATGGCATTTTCAAGTTTATAGCACTCTCCATCCTGGTTTCAGCAAGAACACCAGAGAGCAACAAACAAGTACAACAGGTAAATGACATGTAAGTATGCAAATCAGATCTGCAAATATGTTGAAGAGTCAGTGTTGTGTCTGTTTGGATAAACTTCCTTGTACAACTGTATTCCTAATACAAGGACACTGTCAATCAC